ATAAATAACCTCAATATTAGTGAACCTGGAGTTCAAATAAAATAAATTAAAGTGCAATTTTGTATTTTGTAAATGTCAGAATTTGATCCATCATCCTCAGCAACTTCCAAAACCACTACTATAGTATCTGTTGAAATATTCTCCATACAGACATACATACATGCTTATTAATGCTAATAATGATGCTTGAGTTGGAATCTGTCAGTTTCTAAATGCTGGGGACCCACACTGTACATTTCTAACATAAAACTTTGGTACTCAACATTTCTGAGTTCACGTTGCTGCGAGTCGACTAATCCCTCCAATCAGAGCTGTGTTTTTGTCATGTGACTGAGAGGAATGATGGGAAATAATGTGTGATCTCTCCCAGCAGGTTGCTGTGTCTGTGTGAAGGTGTGGGCTCTGCTATGGATCAGTGTGAGGACAGAGAGGAGGGAGTCCCTCCCTCTAAAAGCACTCTGTGTGGGGAACATGACACAAGGACCAAAGCTCAGAGGTGAGATGAGGATCTCTAACTGTCCATGACTCTTCTCCATGTCACAAAGGCTTTGATTCTCCATTTGAAACAAAGACATTTATCTGAGCTAAAGTACATAGCTGTCAGTATTCAAACAGGGCTGGACAATCTGATCTCAAATCAGTATCAGGAGAAACATTCAGCTTCATAATGAGAATTGTAACAGTAACATGTGTTTGAATCAATCAGAGCAGATTTCCTTCCTCATGTTGCTCACTGCTGATGTTTGTCCTGATTCATTCCAGTCTGACCAGTTCCACATTCTGCTCTTCTGGACTGGGAGCTGATTGCTCACTGGTTAGATGTTGTAGCTGCTCTCACTTTAATTATATGGAATTCAGACAGTGTGTTGAAGTGTGTGACATCAGTAAATTGTGTTCAGTAACACGTCCATAATGTCAGTAATTGAAGACATTGTTCTTATTGTCCAGCCCTGTATTCAAACATTTCAAATTATACATCATTTCACAAAGTCTTTGATTCAGTGAGAATGTTTCTGAATATGTGAGCTTTAATGAATTTCTTTCTATCAGGATCCATCAGAGACCAGACTGTCCTGAACCTGAACCCAGCTGTGTGTCCATGAAGAGTGATCGCTCTATGGATGATCGTATGTACTTCAAAGATGGCGGCCATTCTGTTGATCAAAGGTGAGGATTTCAAACTGATGGTGAAAATAAACGTATTTTTATCAGACTCTCAGTTGTGAAATCTCTATTTTTAAATGTTTTAAAATGTCTTTGAATGGACGGTGATGGTTTGTGTCTGATCAGCTCAATTTACAACAGCCTCAGTTTCACAGTGAACAAATAGTTGCAGCAGTTTATAGAAACTCACTGCTTTGACACCACGTCTGTTCCTCTGTTTATCCTAATGGGACCGATATGGTCACTCCACTCCATCATTTCCCCGCCTATACTGCACACTGCACTGAATACAGCTTTAAAATACACAGTGAAACATGTCTAAATCAAACACTGACTTTATAGAAATCCTAACCAAGAACTCCCTGGGTACAAATACACTGTGTACAGTCGGTGTATTCAGTCACTGGTTCTGTCTCAGTGTGTTGTGGGTGCAGTGCAGAACTGATCCTGTTTTTCTGTCAGGAGGAAAAAACCTGAACCCAGCTGTGTGTCCATGAAGAGTGATCGGTCTAAGGATCATCCTATAAACTTCAACGATGGCCGCCACTCTGTTGATGAAAGGTGAGGATTTCAAACTGATGATAAAAATAAAATAATGTGTTTTTATCAGACTCTCAGTTGTGAAATCTCCAGTTTTTCAACCTTTACTGACTCAGATGAAGTTCTCTGAGCACCAACACTCTTTCAGCAGCAGCTGCATCACACTCACACAATCAAACACATTCACACTGGGAGCTGCCCAGTACAACCAGTCTGATATAAGCAAACACTGAGCAGCTCCACTGGAGCAGCTGGAGGCTCTAGGTGCCTTGCTCCAGGGCACTTCAGCAGTGTACAGTGAGGGAGGGAGAGCTATATGGAGGGGTTGGTGAGAGCTGTAGGGACTGAACCAAACTGAGCTGTTGATTCTCAGTGGGATCAGCAGGACTAGTAAACCTTTACCACTACAGGGAGTCATCAGATTCACTGTTCACATCCAAATATCACTTCATGGACCTTTACCTTGTGTTTGTCTCTGTGTGGACAGACATAATGTGAGCTCATTCTTCATGATTCCTCCACAGAGTGGACCAGGAGACCTCAGAGGTTCCCAGTGGTCAGTCTGCCCAGCAGCATCAAACACATCTGGACTCCATATTTATGGTCTGTACATGGACAACAACTACTTTTACATCTATTGTGTTCACAATAATCTCCATGCTGCACTTTTTAGACCAGTGGATTGTCAGTCTGTCCAACATGGATCTGATGTTTGCTTCCATGATTTGACTTTGATTGAGTCATTCATATAATATTCTGTTCCAGCTGCTGGAGGACAACATTGTCACTTTTGTGAAGAACGAGCTGAAGAAGATCCAGAAGGTTCTGAGTTCAGATTACCCAGAATGCTCAGAGAGTCAGAGGGAGGATGAGGAGGTGTTGGATGGTGAGGATGAAGAGCAGAGGAGGAGCAGCAGAGAGGCATTTCTGAAGATCACAGTGCACTTCCTGAGGAGAATGAAGCAGGAAGAGCTGGCTGACTGTCTACAGAGCAGTAAGAGGATTTTAACAGATTGAACATGATGGAAAGAGGAAATGGAGGCAACATGGGAGAAGTTTACTTTTAAAACTTTGCTGATAATATGATGCACACATTGTATCAGATCTTTGAATTCTTCTGGACTGAAAACAGAAACTGTTTACAACTGATGAGCTGAAGAGATTCAAGGGGGGAGGAAAATAAATACCATCTTGATGTCTTAAAGTTTATATCCATCAGATTTATTGGAGCTTCTACTTATTAACTACATTTCTTCTTTGTTCATTCAGGAACTGTTGCTGCAGCGTGCCGACGTGAACTTAAATCTAACCTGAAGAAGAAGTTCCAGTGTGTGTTTGAGGGGATTGCTAAAGCAGGAAACCCAACCCTTCTGAACCAGATCTACACAGAGCTCTACATCACAGAGGGAGGGACTGCAGAGGTCAATGATGAACATGAGGTCAGACAGATTGAAACCACATCCAGGAAACCAGACAGACCAGAAACAACAATCAGACAAGAAGACATCTTTAAACCCTCACCTGGAAGAGATGAACCAATCAGAACAGTGATGACAAAGGGAGTGGCTGGCATTGGGAAAACAGTTTTAACACAGAAGTTCACTCTGGACTGGGCTGAAGACAAAGCCAACCAGGACATACAGTTCACATTTCCATTCACTTTCAGAGAGCTGAATGTGCTGAAAGAGAAAAAGTACAGCTTGGTGGAACTTGTTCATCACTTCTTTACTGAAACCAAAGAAGCAGGAATCTGCAGGTTTGAAGAGTTTCAGGTTGTGTTCATTTTTGACGGTCTGGATGAGTGTCGACTTCCTCTGGACTTCCACAACACTGAGATCCTGACTGATGTTACAGAGTCCACCTCAGTGGGTGTGCTGCTGACAAACCTCATCAGAGGGAAACTGCTTCCCTCTGCTCGCCTCTGGATAACCACACGACCTGCAGCAGCCAATCAGATCCCTCCTCAGTGTGTTGACATTGTGACAGAGGTCAGAGGGTTCACTGACCCACAGAAGGAGGACTACTTCAGGAAGAGGTTCAGAGATCAGGAGCAGGCCAGTAGAATCATCTCCCACATCAAGACATCACAAAGCGTCCACATCATGTGCCACATCCCAGTCTTCTGCTGGATCACTGCTACAGTTCTGGAGGATGTGTTGAAGAACACAGAGGGAGGAGAGCTGCCCAAGACCCTGACTGAGATGTTCATCCACTTCTTGGTGGTTCAGTCCAAAGTGAAGACCATCAAGTATGATGGAGGAGCTGAGACAGATCCACACTGGAGTCCAGAGAGCAGGAAGATGATTGAGTCTCTGGGAAAACTGGCTTTTGAGCAGCTGCAGAAAGGCAACCTGATCTTCTATGAATCAGACCTGACAGAGTGTGGCATTGATATCAGAGCAGCCTCAGTGTACTCAGGAGTGTTCACAGAGATCTTTAAAGAGGAGAAAGGACTGTACCAGGACAAGGTCTTTTGCTTCGTCCATCTGAGTGTTCAGGAGTTTCTGGCCGCTCTTCATGTCCATCTGACATTCATCAGCTCTGGAGTCAATCTGCTGGCAGAAGAACAAACAACATCCCGGTTGTCTGAATTAATTAAAGACAAAGAAAATCTAAAATATCTCCACCAGACTGCTGTGGACAAGGCCTTAGAGAGTCAACAAGGACACCTGGACTTGTTTCTCCGCTTCCTCCTGGGCCTTTCACTGCCGACCAATCAGAATCTCCTACGAGGTCTGCTGACACAGACAGGAAGTAGCTCACAGACCAATCAGGAAACAGTCCAGTACATCAAGAAGAAGATCAGTAAGAATCTCTCTGCAGAGAGAAGCATCAATCTGTTCCACTGTCTGAATGAACTGAATGATCGTTCTCTAGTGGAGGAGATCCAACAGTCCCTGAGTTCAGGAAGTCTCTCCACAGATAAACTGTCTCCTGCTCAATGGTCAGCTCTGGTCTTCATCTTACTGTCATCAGAAAAAGATCTGGACGTGTTTGACCTGAAGAAATACTCTGCTTCAGAGGAGGCTCTTCTGAGGCTGCTGCCAGTGGTCAAAGCCTCCAACAAAGCTCTGTAAGTACAGAAATAGTTGGATGTCTGTATTATCACTTAAATACTCTGCTATCTTTTCGACTTAAAGAGATTATAAAGACATTATATATCACCAACATTGGGAACTCCTCACTAGCTGATATCATTTTTACAGAACTAATTTAAAGTGTTTTTGGTTTTGGCTGAGTGATAAAGTGCTGGTCACAAATGTTATTTTTCTTATTGTTGATCATTGTCTCTACAGACTGAGTGGCTGTAACCTCTCAGAGAGAAGCTGTGAAGCTCTGTCCTCAGTTCTCAGCTCCCAGTCCTCTAGTCTGAGAGAGCTGGACCTCAGTAACAACAACCTGCAGGATTCAGGACTGAAGCTGCTTTCTGTTGGACTGAAGAGTCCACACTGTAAACTGGAAACTCTCAGGTCAGAATTTGTCAACCTGTTCAACTGATAACCACTTTAAACCTGAATAATGTTGATGGTTACAATTGTAATCTTCCTAACATTGTCTCAAATCATTGTTTTGTTTATTTAGTTTGAGTCTCTTTCCTTGAACATGTTTATTATGTAATGTGTTTTTGAAACTCAGATCAAATATGCTACTTAACTGAACTCTAACAAAACAGTGGGCCCACACACACACACACACACACACACACACACACACTCTCTCTCTCACACGCACACAAAAACAAAAAAAGGCCTGTGTTGCTCGGTGCGGTGCGGCAGGCAAAACCTTATCCTCAGTGACAATTAACAGTCACAAAGAAAATCCAACTCATGGTCTGGAATAAGTCCTGGAGAAACAGTTAATGAAGAGATGAAGATGAAAGCCAACGGCAGCAGAAGTAAAGTCCTCCTCAGGAAGCACGAAACAGTCCTTCCCGTTCAGCAATGGCGTCCTCTTGGCTCGATTCTCCCGCCCCTTTTTTGTTCACTCCCTTACCTACGGCCAATTACCAACAGGTGACATTGAGTGATACCTGCAGCAACCAATCAAATGAAACAGCATGAACCAATGACACAAATCTGAAAATTCATGTTTAGTTTACCACACACTTTTCTTCAGCTACTATACAGAACAGTTTAATGTAACTATTTAATGAACTATTTACACTCTACTTTATTTATTATGAATTTATGTTAATCTATCGGTTAACATTTCATCTTTCACTGCTTTTAACCTAAATTGCTCTCAGTTTATTTGCAATACTGAATTATTTATTTAATTCACTGAAACAATTATTTGTATTACAAATTAACTTGTTTTAACCCCTGTACTTTTACACTGGACTACATTTTGTTTTGTGTGTTTTTCAGGCTGTCAGGCTGTCTGATCACAGAGGAAGGTTGTGCTTCTCTGGCCTCAGCTCTGAGCTCCAACCCCTCCCATCTGAGAGAGCTGGACCTGAGTAACAACAACCTGCAGGATTCAGGACTGAAGCTGCTTTCTGTTGGACTGAAGAGTCCACACTGTAAACTGGAAACTCTCAGGTCAGTATTCGTCAACCTGTTCAACTGATAACCACTTTAAACCTGAATTATGTTGATGGATACAATTGTAATCTTCCTAACATTGTTTTGTTTATCTAGTTTGAGTCTATTTCCTTGAACATGTTTGTTATGTAATGTGTTGTTCTGTGTGTTTGCAGGCTGTCAGGCTGTCTGATCACAGAGGAAGGTTGTGCTTCTCTGGTCTCAGCTCTGAGGTCCAACCCCTCCCATCTGAGAGAGCTGGACCTGAGCTACAATCATCCAGGAGACTCAGCAACAAAGCTGTCTGCTGCACTGGAGGATCCACAGTGGAGACTGGACACTCTCAGGTATGAGGCGGATCAATACAGTAGTAGTAGTCAGGTGACAGAGAAAAGGTGATGAAATTTCTGTTTTTCTGGACCGATGTCTTGATTCGACATTGGAAAATAGGACAGTGGTTTATCCTGATGGGTTGGTGAGCATCATGGTGGGTTGATATTTGTCAATGTTGTCACGCTGCAGGTTTGTGGGCTCATATCATAAATAGTTTGAGATATTTTGATGGTTGTCATCTGCCATCAGCATGTGTTACCTTTTAGTCCAGAAAAACTAAAGGCGTCACCTAAACTATTCAATTCAGTTCAGTTCAGTTTTATTTGTATGTCACCAATTCATAACAGAAGTTATCTCAGGACAGTTTTCAAATAGAGCAGGTCTAGACTGAACTCCTTATAACATTATTTACAGAGACCCAACAGTTCCCACCATGAGCAAGACCTTGGAGACAGCGGCAAGGAAAAACTTTCTTTTCCGCCCTGAAGGAGAGAGAGAGAGAGAGAGAGAGAGAGAGAGAGAGAGAGAGAGAGAGACAGACAGAGAAAGAGAGAGAGAGAGAGAGAGAGAGACTAGAAATAACTGATGATGAACATGAAGATGATGACAATGAAAACAACGATGGACAATAATAATAGTAACTATAATAATTTTAGAATATAATAAGATTAGAATGATAATAATAATAATAATAATAATATCAGTAATTTTGAGGCTCCACCAGGATCGATGAGAACCTGCAAGAAGAGAAAGCACAAGAACTCCGGGGAAGAAGTGAAGTTAGTAACATGCATTAATGGGACATGAATGAGTGCAGAAAGAGAGAGGAAGAGAGGAGCTCAGTGCATCATGGGAAATACCCCCGATAGTCTAGGCCTATAGCAGCATAACTAAGGGATGGTTCAGGACTCACCTGATCCAGCCCTAACTATAAGCTTTATCAAAGAGGAATGTCTTAAGCCTACTCTTGAATGTGGAGAGGGTGTCTGCCTCCAGAACCACAACTGGAAGCTGGTTCCACAGGAGAGGAGCTTGGTAACTGAAGGCTCTGGCTCCTGTTCTACTTTTAGAGACTATAGGAACCACAAGTAGCCCAGCATTCAAAGAACGTAGTGTTCTAGATGGGGTAATAGGGTACTATGAGCTCTTTAAGATATGAAGGGGCCTGACCATGAAGAGCTTTGTAGGTGAGGAGGAGGATTTTAAATTCTATTCTAAATTACTACTGATGTGAGATCAGTTGTGTTTAATGCAGGGAAATGTATATTTGCTATGTTTTTTACAAGATATTGAATTTTCCTGTGTTCTGAGCAGTCCTTGAACACCTCCTGCTGTATGTTTTGTTGTTTATTAGAGTATTCAGGTGTCAACCTGTCATTGTCCAATCAGGGTCTATTAGAGATGAGTATGAGGTAACCTACCGGATTCTGAGAGGATTAAAAAGAGAAACGGAGATGTAAAAGAGAGATAGAGAGACGCTCATCCGCTATGCCTGGTTCTGCTCCATCATACATTTTATCCCGCTCCACTCACCACTCCGCTCAAAAAAAAAAAAAAGGACTTCAACAATGTCGCCTTTTTCTTGTTCCACATTATCCCCATCTGTTACTTTTACAGGAATAGCACACTTGTACGACTTCTCAGTTTCTTTTCTGAAGTACACATTAAACTCCATAGTTTTGAAAGAAAATAGTGTGGGTGTGCGCGTGCAGGTGCAAAGACTGGAGCTACCTTTAAAAAAATTGCCGCTCAACACAAAATCCTTTTGCTCCCCGCTCCGCTCATATGCTCTGACAGGGACTAACGTTAGTTTCACAACTTTGATCATCCGCCACTGGACAGAGGTTGTGAACTAAACAAACAACGTTGCTATCCAGTGTGCGTGTAATCAAAAAGGATGGAGATGGAGAGTGTTATTTTGATCGTGTGTTCTTTGCGTAATGGATGTGGAGAACTGTTCAATAACGTTTAAATAGTCAGAGATTATTTCCTTGTGGTTTGCGTAAAAGGATTTTGGAGTTAATAGAGTCGCGTGTGACATAAACGTAGATGGTGCAGTGACTCAGGTTCATGCCAGCTGAACAAATCTATTGCATTGTTATAGCGTTATTGTGAAGTTTAATTAATAGCGCATATATTCATCTGAGAACTGATGATGTCTGTGTGTTACAGACCCTGGCTGTGTGCACTGAAGTGTATATGACAATAAAGTAGTGAATCTCAATCTTTATTTATTTTTAAAATGTATTTTAAATAGGCCTATAGGCTCATAGGTTTTTTGTCCAAAAATACCAAACAATTTTTTCACAGCACCCCCTGTTCAAAATGACTTCCAGCGGCCCTGGGGTACAAATTAGAGTTAGATTAGAGTAGCAAAATTCAACTGCTCTTAACTCATCCTATAGAATAACATTTATCAGTCATCAGCTCATCATCTGTGTCACCTGTATTGTTACCTGTGTTTGCTTTACTAATTGAGGCGCCATCTTGTGGTTACATAAAAACACAGCAATCCAGGCAACAGAACAGAAAAACTAAAGGCGTCACCTAAACAACAATTCAGTTCAATGTCACCAATTCATAACAGAAGTAACTACTGCACTCAGGTTCAACTCAAGGAGTGAGTAAATGTAAATAATAATAATGTAAAAAGGTAAACACAATTTCACAATCAACAAAAAGTAGAATCACAGTTCAGATTCATTCCAATATATAAAAGAAATAAAAGAACTGAAAGTGAAAGTGTTTCTTTACAGCTTATTGCTGTCTGATATCAATGTTGGTCAAAGTCCAGTCCAAAAGCTTAGTGTGTATCCATGTCCGTCCAAGTGTATTCAATGTGTATGTGCTACCCGGGTAGAATGTGTGTGTTTGTTTGTACGCTTGCTCAGATCTTATCTTCAGGAAGATGATGAAGATGGAGAATTCCAGATACTCTCTAACCCTGCCTCGCATCCCACAGGAAACCCAGAATGTAGATCCAGCAACTCAAAAAACCAATTATCTCTCATCAATTACTGTACAGTATCTATCTCTCTTTAACTCAAGTGTAACTTATAACAAAAGCAATGATGAACTATATCCTGAGACCTTAAAAGCTTAGACATCATTGTGTTTTGTTTCCTTTTTACCCGTATTAATAAATCATGTTACACAATTATCTCTTATCTCTAATCAATCATGTCTCTCATTCATATTCACCCTTATGTATTTTTAATCATCTCAACATGAACTGAAACACATTATTTATATCAGGAAAAACCCATATGTATACAAATCATGAGCATTAGCCCACATATAGCATATTTTTAACTCTGACTTTAACACTGAACATGGCGCCCAGAAATGTAAACATTAGCATTACACTAAAAATAAATGCATTTCTAAAACACAACTCAGCATATTAACTCATTTCAGTGTCTCCATAACATTTACAGTCCAATTGGTTTTTGTTGATAAGAAAATTGCTTAATCATAACCACACAGAAAAATTACATGTCTGCTAGCAACGTAGCATGCTAACTAGTACACTCTCCAGAGTCCTCAATCATATAAACAAAAGAAAGCAAATCCTCCGGTCGCAGCGGTCTGGCAACAACTTCGCTCCAGTACAGACTCATAAACATGAGAACAACAATATTTCTTCCATAAAATGGAATTAACTAACTTCACTCGTGAGTTGTTAGCATCGGGCTTAGCTGAGGTGTTTTTGATCCCAGCATGCAACGCTCACGTCTACTGGATTTACTACATATCACATCCGTAGTGCGCCCTCTAGCGGCTATTTTAGGCAACTACAGTCATCTTGAAACAGTTTCCCTCATAAATTCAGATATTAAAATCAAACTTATTAACTACAAATAATAGTTGGACTTTCATAATGTACGCTAACTATAGTTCTTTGGCTGTTGCTAACTAGCATTAGCTTCTAGTGGAAGTAAATGCAGAGAAATATTATATTTAGTCGGCTCTTACCAATTCACCTCCCATGTTAAACTGTTTAAAGGTAATCAATGTAAACATTCTGTTACAAATATAATACTGATAATAATAATAGATCATCAATAAGTGAAAATAATGAGCTGTAGCCATCGGCCAATAAGAAGAAGCTCCACTGAACTGAAAGACTATCAGCTGATTAATAATAAGTGCTCCATGTGAAGATGTAAGTCCATTTGTAGAGAATAAGCTCTGTGTATGAGAGCGATGTAATGTCCATGTTTCCATGCTGCTCTGACCCCCCTCCTCCTTTCAGGGTGGAGCCTGCTGGAGTCCGATGGTTGAGACCAGGTCTGAGGAAGTGTAAGTGTGAAAACAAAGCAGCACACATTCAACCATCTTCACACTGTGACATCACTCATTCACAGCTCTGATGTCATCATCAAAGTGTCAATCAATGATCAGATGATAGATCAATAACTGCAGCTGTATTGTGTCTTGTTCTCTCCATCAGATTCCTGTGAACTCACAGTCGACACAAACACAGTGAACAGAAACATCAAACTGTCTGACAACAACAGGAAGATGATTTATGTGAAGGAGGATCAGTCATATCCTGATCATCCAGACAGATTTAACTTCTGGCCTCAGCTGCTGTGTAGAAATGGTCTGACTGGTCGCTGTTACTGGGAGGTCGAGTGGAGAGGAGAGGTTTATATATCAGTGAGTTACAGAGGAATCAGCAGGAGAGGAGACAGTGACAGACTGTTTGTTTGGAGGGAATGATCAGTCCTGGAGTCTGGAGTGCTCTGATGATGGTTACTCTGTCTGGCACAATAAGAGAGAAACATCCATCTCCTCCTCCTCCTCCTCCTCCTCCTCCTCCTCCTCCTCCTCTGGTAGAGTAGCAGTGTATGTGGACTGTCCTGCTGGCACTCTGTCCTTCTACACAGTCTCCTCTGACACACTGATCCACCTCCACACCTTCAACACCACATTCACTGAACCTCTTTATCCTGGGTTCGGGTTCGGGTTCTGGTCTGGTTCCTCAGTGTCTCTGTGTCCTCTGTAGGAGGGAGAGAGAAACTTTCTCACTGCTGACCAGATAGTTCAGTCTGTACAGGATCACACACAGCTGATGTTAGTTAGTACCAACCTGATGTGTTTACTGTAATAGAGGAGGAAGAGGAGGCTGAAGGAAGAGAAGAGCAAAGGATGCTGGGATGAAGGGATCATGTGTGAGGGTAATGTGCAGCCTGCAGACGTAGAGATGAAAGAAATGATAGAAAGAATTGATCTTCTTCTATAACTCTGAGAAAAATGAACATTTTTAGGATCAAATGTGGCTGCTTGTTTTTCAAATCTTCTTCTTTTTGAAAGCACAGTTAGAGGGAAAGTGTTTTTATGACTCAAATATTAAAGTGTGAACAAATATTCAACTTTGAGTCTAAAACTGAACTTTGTTGCCTTAAAACTTTTGTTTCTGTGAAGAACAAATGCTAACGTTATCTTGTCAGCACCATAATGTGTGCTACCAAACAAAGACACATACTCTCCACTAGAGCCGCTGACTGCTAGCTCAACGTCCCAAACAGAGAAGATCACAACAATAGCATGTCTTCATAAACCACCCTTGTTCGTCTTCATACAATATGTTGGGAAGTTGCAGTAAATATCAATACAATATGTTCTATATCCCTTTGTGTTGTGTCTCTCCTTCGTCTGTTAAGATAACTGAACATGTTGTGAGTCTCGAGGCATTGTCAGCCTTTATATCTCATTTGTAAATGCTTAATAAGCCATAGATAGTGCTCACTTTAGATCAGCTTGTGCAAAATACTTAATTAAGGAGTAGTAAGTGCTTTGTAACTGTGAATTCCTGCATTAATCACTGTTTATAGGCCATCATTAGAAAATGAATTTGTTGTGAGTTTTATAGAACATCTGCTAACACAGTCACTAATCATTAATACATGTCTGAATAGTGGATGTGCAAGTGCATGCAGAAATGTACAGTACAATGAAGAGTAAAACATTTATAACTGTGATTATAAACCACATAGTAATGACTATTTACAGCAGAATCATGCTTTATAAATGATGGATTCAGTATTTACTAATCCATAACTAATGTGCTTATCAATGATGAATAAAACATGTTTAACTGTGTTTATAAACTACATACTAATGTGTATTCATGCGTTATAAATGATGATTTCAGTATTTATTCATGCTTAACTAATGCTTAATAGTGTGTACTCATTATAAAGTGTTACCCAGATTTATTCAAATATCATTCAATTGGTTCAATTCGTTAAAACATTAATGAGAAACAGGACTTTCTGACATTAATGGGTGTCAATCTGGTTAAACTTTAATAAAATGAATAAATCAACTTCAATCCAGAACTCTTGTGAGTCTGTTTAAGGAATAGATGAGAGATAGATTTGATTTCTGTTTTACAGAAAGAACATAATGGAGAAATATGTATTTTTTTGTGACGGTGTATCAGAGTTAAAAATTCACTATTAATTCTTACTTTTAATATGTATGTAACGCCCATTAGTTACACACACAGTGCAATCCCCAGTTTTACAGTTTAACAATGTGTAGAGCGATACAGCCTAGTAGATTTCAGATGTAGTTGCTTAGTTTCACCAGCAGGGTGCGCATTCATCCCACACAAACACTGGCAGCGCCTTAAGTATGGAGTTAGATTTGTGTCTTTATTACATGCGAGAAAATAAATGATCTGAGAGAAAAAGTTATCACACTGAGAGCAAAAAATAATAATATTTGAGACTAAAAAAAGTTTTGAGAGAAAGTATTTTCTCATAGAACATAAAAAAATATAAATGTTTAAAATTATTTCTGAGAAAAACAAATCTCTCTCAAAATGAATTAGCCATCATGCTAGGTAAACTTGCAAACTCATTGGTTTTCCATGCTGGGATTTAAAATAAAAACTAATTACCATGACAGTACAGGCACCACATATTGGTGGGTTGCTAATGTAAGAGTTAGTCCTAGACCTGCAGTTTACCTTGTCAGCTCTAGACCTCGGCTACATGCTAAAGAATATTTAGAATAATAATAATGTGTAGCTGAGTTTGCAAGCTACACATGCAGTGTAGCTAAACGTGTAGTGCAACAACCATACAAAGACTATTTTACACAAAACTAGGTGGGACACTTTCAAACGGTCTATCAATCACTGTCTAACGTTAGCTAGCTATAGGGTTGCCACCTTCCATGCAGACTAGCTGAAAGTTGTCCAGGAGGTTGTATACGATGAACAAAGGTAGAAACTAGCTCACTACTCACTAAATAAGGAGTGAAACTATCTAAATCAACTTCTGATCTGTTACTCTCTAACCAGTTAAACATCCTTTAATACCTCTGATCTGTTACTCTCTAACCAGTTAAACATCCTTTAATACCTCTGATCTGTTACTCTCTAACCTGTGGCAGCTGGCCCCCCTTGAGCCACAAAAATAAAATAAATAAAAAAACAATTAAATAATAATAATAATAATAATGATAAAAATATCAGTATGTCAATATTTGTGTGTTTGAAATATGGAATGCAGCCAGTAATATGTGTAAAATATGATATAAAATCATATTCACAACCTTTCCTCTGCCTGTCTGAAGCCTCATCAGCTCTGGCCGATAGAGAAAGCGCCCCCAGGAGGCGGGTCTATGTAGCAGTTAAGCCAATTGCTAATTTAAGATATGAATGTATGACAGAAAATTTTGCCAATCAGCGTCCTTAAATCGAATCCAAGAAGGGAGATTATTAGATTATCGCCCCAAGCTCGCCCCTGATAAAACAAGGACCGGGCTCTAGCGGCGCCATTTTTACTAGACGACCATGACGAGCGCGAACGTTACTCCTCCAAGACCCAACCCTAACTCGGGAAATCTCTCCTCCAAGACCCAACCCTAACTCGGGGAAATCTCTCCTCCAAGACCCAACCCTAACTCGGGAAATCTCTCCTCCAAGACCCAACCCTAACTCGGGGAAATCTCTCCTCCAAGACCCGTTTGAGAGGAGAACTTTGTCGGAGAAAGTTGGGGTGAAAGAGCTGGGCCCAGATCAACCTGAGCTCTCAATCAGACAGCAGGCTAGAGAGAAAGGGAAGCAGTATATGGCGGCGGCTTCTCCCGTAGCCGGTACACCGGGAAGGCTTGGCTAGCTGGGTGCACTCATGCTTTTTAAAAGGACGGGGACAGATCCAGCATGGACAGTTACCGGAGTGAGGGATATGAAGCACCTGTCAGAGAAGGTAAAGAAACACGAGAACACCAGGGCACACATGGATAACTCTGTAAAGCTAGCCATATTAGGAAGGGTGAACATCGCTACCCAGCCGGATGACGGCCACAGGATTGCAGTGAGGAAACACAATGAGGAGGTGGATAAAAACAGCCACATTTTATCCCAAATTATCGATTGTGTGAAGTTTTGTGGGACTTTTGAGTTGGCCTTGCGTGGGCATGACGAGACTGACTCGGACTCCTCGGACAACCCCGGCATTTTCCGGGGCTTGGTGGATTTTGTTGCCTCCCTTGACAGTGTGCTGGAGGAGCACCTGAACACAGCTACCGTTTTTAAGGGCAGTCAAAGACGATACAGAACGAGCTGTTGGACTGCATGCTGTCAGTGCTTAAGGATTACATCCTGGAGGAAGTAAAGAGTGCTGATTTTATCGCCATTCAAGCCGACGAGACGACTGACGTTTCCACCCACTGTGCAGCGTAAAATAGTGGATGTGTACGAAAATGCACACTACGTCCACTGCTATGCACATCAGCTGAACCTCATCATGCAGCAGGCTACTTCACGCATCCCCAGGATCGGCACTTTCTTTTCCGACCTTGCAGGATTTTCTGCTTTCTTCTCCAGGTCTCCCAAGCGAACCACCGTGCTTGACCAAGTGGTTGCGCATAGACTCCCCCAGAGCCTCTACAACACGGTGGACCTTCCACAGTCGCGCTGTAAACACTGTGTACGAGCACAAGGATGACCTCCTAACGTGTTTCCAGACCATCAGAGACTCTGGGAACTTTGACCCCCCGACTGTCAGAGAGGCTGGGGGCTTTGTGAGGATGCTCGAAGACGCACTGTTCCACAAGATCATGCCAAATGTGGACATGGTTTTCAGCCAGCTGCAGAAGAGGAACATCGACCCTGTCTTCATTAAAGAACTTATCCAGAGGTTCGCAGACAGCATGCTAACGATCAGGTAAATAACTATATTTACTATTGGCTGATAAAGCTGTTGTTGTTAGAAAGATGAATAGCTCACTTCCAACAGTGTAAAAGCCTAAATGTGTCTTGTCATCAAAGTGAGTGATTATCATAGAGCACATCACAATTATATTTGTTTTAGTATTTTAAAAGGAAAGAGAAGACACAATCAGACTTGGATAATAATGCAGGAAAGTATTACACAGTTTGTAATAACAGGCTTATTCAGGTGTCCACCAGGTCAATTTCTAGAAGAGGCCTTACACACTTCCTTCACTTACACAGGACAAGTGCACAGGAGAACAAAATTATGTTGCATCCCTCTCACAAATGTGATAGAAAACTGCTAAAAAACGTAATAACATAAGTTAATTACGTACATCACAAGTTAAAAGCAGTTACTAGACATATTGTGTGTGTGTGTGTGTGTGTGTGTGTGTGTATACGATATGTCTGTAACTGTTTTCTGTGTGTTATTAGTGTCAGTGGGTGTGTGTGTGTGTGTTGAGGGGGGGTTACAGTGAGTTAAGAAGTCTGATGGCAAGTTTTCAAATTAAACTTTATTTTTTGGACCCGGGGCCTCCATTCCCTCTTTGTGTGGGGACAGCGCATCTGACGAGCAGCAGCAGCCCATAAAGCGACGGAGGGTGCTGGGACCAGGAGAACAACAGAGGCTGGCTACAGAGGTAAGTTGTGATGTCATTGTCAGTGTTTCCCCTAGAACTTTTTTTCAGGCCTGGTAGTATGTAGCCAAAACCAAAAACCCTGAACAATCAGCACCTTAGTAATCATATACTTGACTTGGACATAGGCATGTGTTCAGTCAGGATCACTTGCATCAAAATAGCTTTATTGCAAATTAAAGCTGATGATGTATCTTTTACAGGTATGTGATACTATCCTGATTCATGCCAAGGAGAGGTTCTCCTTCACCCAGCACCTCATCAGCGCAACACTGTTGCACGGAAAGTTGTTCCCACAACACAGTGTGAAGTTCCCCGATGCAGCGCTTGAAACAACCGTGGAGGCGTACCCGATGTTGAACAAGGCCAAGCTCAAAACCGAACTGTCCCTCATCTATGAGAACAGTGAGTTCAAGGCTTGTAGTGGTGCAGTGCCTCTGTACCAGTTCTTCATGGAGAACAACCTTCAGAGCACTTTCACAGAGACTGTCAGCCTCCTCAAGATCCTCATCACCACACCCATGACAACAGCTGAGTCAGAAAGGTGCTTCTCTACACTGAAGAGGATCAAGACCTTCCTGAGAAACAGCATGACACAGGATCGCCTGAATGCTCTGGCTATGCTCTCCATGGAGAAGAAACTTGTCAGGGACATTCCTGACTTTAATAAAAGGGTCATTGAGAGGTTTGCCACTCAGAAGGACAGACGGGCAAAATTCCTGTACAAATAAGATGACACACACACACACACACACACACACACACACACACACACACACACACCCGCAGCACTGACCACATGTTTCTTTGTATATAGTTGACCTTAGCATAAAGAATCATCCAGTTATATATGGTACTCTAGAAAGTCTTAATAGTGTGTTTGCTAATATTACTGTATATGTGTTGTTTTGTATCAATGAATTGTTGCAGTTCTGGAGCACATTAACAATTAGTTACATTTAGTTTGATCATAAAATACTGTATGCTATTCTTCCAGTCAAAGGTTTGAGTTCAGCCACTTGATATCCATTTCTATATTATACATCCTTTATACAGTGTAAGATTTCCTATAAACTTTATAATAATTTCATGTTATTGTCCACTTTCCACAAAAGATGTTAAGTGTAGAAATAGTCAATTGTTTGTTTCTTGTGTTTGTGCAATATGATGTTTATGTTTTTGTGTAAGAATGCCTCAACTAATATTGGCATTAAATAATTACTGACTATTTCACTGAGCACTGGTGTCCTGCAGTTTGTGTTCAATTGTATTGCGATGGTTACGGAAACAAAAATGTATGGCACAGCCCCACCGAGAATATTTTTCACCAGCCGCCACTGGATTTTACCTGGTTAAATAAAGGTTCAATGAAACAATATAATACAAGGATTTCAATATTCATATAATGTATTATGTTGTGTCTATGTTAGGTAACCATATTCTAACATTTGCAATATTCTTGGT